GGGGGGGGAGGGGGGCAGGCTTTTCTGTAGCTGATGGGGGTGGTTGTGTCTTTTGTTTGGCTGCTTTCACTGCTTGGGGGGGATGTCCCACTTGCGTGACGATCTCAGTGAAGAGCCAAGTGGCTCTCCTCACTCTCCACTCTCCGACGGTTGGCCTGACCCTTCTTTTCTGCGTTTCTCTCTCCCGCTAGAACCGTCCGCCCTGGATGAATTCCGGCCCTTCGGAAAACAGGCCCTTCCATAACATGCACGGGGGGAGTGGGAGCAGTGGCAGCAGCAGTAGCGGGGGGCCCGCGGGCCCCAGCGGCCCCCACAATTTCCCTCACCCCATGTCGAGCATGGGAGGACACGGGGGTCACCCCATGCAGCACAACCCCAGCGGCCCCCCGCCTTGGATGCAGCCTCACAACCCCCCCATGAACCAGGGACCACATCCCCACGGGCACCCTGGCCCCCACCACATGGGTGAGTACAAACCAGAAACCCACCAGGGAGAGGGGGGGGCTTTTGAGTGGAGGGTCCCTCGTTGGAGGCGCTAGCTCAGTCCTGGGAAAGGGGCTGCTTCCTTCCCGCTGTTGTTAAGGCTGCGGTCTTTCATTCCCTTAAGATCAGTACCTGGGCAACGCGCCAGTGGGCTCTGGGGCCTATCGCCTCCAAGGAAAAGGTGAGTGGGGCATTGGGGCGCCAGGCACGGCAGAGTCCGGCATGGGGGGGGAGGAAGCAGGCGACGGGAGGGGGGTGGCTCCTGTGCTCCGCTCAACGGGCTCTCTGGCCCTGCAGGTATGATGCTGCCTCCGATGGGTATGATGCCCCCTCCGCCCCCTCCACCCAGTGGCCAGCCTCCCCCGCCTCCCTCTGGTCCTCTCCCCCCATGGCAGCAGCAACAGCAGCAGCAGCAGCCGCCACCCCCGCCTCCCAGCAGCAGTACTCCCTTGCCATGGCAGCAAAGTGAGTAAGAGCACTTCTTTGAATTTTTGCTCCCCCCCCCGCTCTCCCGCTATGGGGTCCCTCGGGTGGGGGCCCCTCCCTTGATTATAGCCCCCTCTGGCTCCATAGGGTCTCTAGGCGGTGCCTTTCTCAGACCCCCCGGGCAGCTTCCCAAAGCCAAGTAGTTGCCTCCCATTCAGGCGGGGCGGGTTTGGCGCTTAGGCGTGGGGGGGGGGAGGCACCCTGTCGTACCTGCCTAAAAGGTCCACCTTTCAATGGATGAAGCTTTCTGTTGACCGGCCTTGCAACGCAAGACAGGGAGGGGCCAGCCGTTTCCCTCCCTAGCAGGACGTGGGACTCCACTCCCCCCCGTCCCCCGGATCTGACCTCGGGCTCTTTCCGTTTCCAGATACGACGACCACCACGAGCGCTGGCACCGGGGGCATCCCTCCATGGCAGCAGCAGCAGGGGGCGGGGGCAGCAACTTCTACGGGGGGCCCTCAGATGCAAGGCAGCCCCTCCATGGTGCCTTTGCCTCCCGGGGTCCAGCCTCCGCTGCCCCCCGGGGCCCCGCCTCCTCCCCCGCCCCCCCCGCCTGGCTCCGCGGGCATGATGTACGCTCCTCCCCCTCCTCCGCCTCCCATGGACCCTTCTAATTTTGTCACCATGATGGGGGTGGGGGTACCGGCCTTGCCGCCCTTCGGCATGCCCCCGGCCCCCCCACCGCCCCCTCCCCAGAACTGAAGAATCAAATTTTTTTCTATACCATTATTCCCTCCCCCCCTCCCACCAATACAGAGCCAGGAATTGGACTTGGGGTGTGTGTGACATTTAAAGCAGGGAAGTTGTGCCCTTGTCTGTATTTGGAGAGGCGTGGTGTGACTCCGATCTCCTCCTCGGCTGATTGACAGGTGTCTTTCGGGAGCCGAGCCGGCTTTTTCTGAACCATGTCCCCCTGTTCTCTCTCCTTTCAGAGGTTTCCCCCCCCTTCCCCCAGGCGGGGGAGAGACCCAGAAACTTGGGGGAAATCTCCTGGCTGAATGGAGAGGCTGTGGCTTAGGGGTTTTGGGGAAGGACGGCATTGGGGTCCTTTTTTTCATTTCTTCTTGCCAAATAGCCCTCTTATTTTTTAGCCGCCTCTTTTGAGTTCTCTCTGCAGCCATTTCCATCCTCTGCTTTAAAACCCTCTTTGAAGACGCCCACGGATGTGCATGGAGGACACATGCACCAAATTGAGCAGGGGGTCTGTGTGTGTGTGTGTGAGTCAAGGGACATGTTTCTCACCCCCCTACCCCCCCCAAAAAAAGTCTTAGTCACTTCAGGCTGAAGGGAGTCTTTTAAAATCCTCCCGATTGAAAAACGAAGGCCGAGGAGGGAGAATCTCGGCCTCTCCCCAAGTCCAAACTTCCTTTTCTTCTTCTTTTTTACACAGCAGAATTTTGTGGTCCGGGGTGACCCCCTGCCCCCTTGCCCTCCCTTGATTGAATGGCTTCTGTTGAAAACGACGTGTGTATGTGGGTGTGTGTGTGTGGACGTCCCTGTCTCCTGTAACCATTTTCTTAATTGCCTTCTTCCCCCCCGCCCTCCTGTGTGTGTGTAAGAATAAAATCCGATGCAGAAAAGAGGAGGAGGTTCCAAAATAAATGCCGCTTTTAAAATAGCCCTCTGGTCCTTCTCCCTTTCATTTAAAGGGAACGCCTTTGGGGGGGGGCTGGTGTCCTGCTGCTGCCGGCAAGTGGAGGCCATGGACCTTGGCGCCCCATGGTTCCTCTGGAGGCAGGGGAGGGAAACTGGGCTTTTCTCTCCCGTTTCTGCCCTTTTTGAGTCATCCTGGGCGGGACAGGACAGTTCTGGTGAAAAGTCACACAAAATTGTCCTGCTGCAACACACACTCTTTTTTCTGACTGCAGCCCTGAGACAGTTTTAAGGCAGTTTCCTTTTCAAAATGAAATTGTTGACAAAGGGCCATTTATTAGAAAGAAAAGAACTAGGGGTTCCTCACTCTGGAACCAAACACCGTTGAGCTTGGCAGGCCATAAACTCTGGTTTATAAGTCCCCGTTTAAGTGAACGTAGCCACGATGGGCTTTGCGTCTTGTGCAAACAGCCGCCACTCGCCCTGCGGCTGCTTTAGAGAAAGGCGAGCTGGGCTTCCATGGTGGAATAAATTAAATTCTCTCTTTCTGGTAATGTTTTTTTCAGGAAGGGCCCCTTTGTTGGAAGACTTTCTCCACCACCTGAATACAAAAATGCCCTCGGCAAAGAACCGGCTGTTCTCGGCCTCCAGGAGTTTGCAACTCTTTGACTAGGCCCAGAAGTTGCGTTCAAAGCCCAATTTTCTAGGGGGGGAGGCGGACAGTGCAATCCAAAGTGGCTGAAATCGAGAGACCTGCGCCAGGCGCTTGGCTGTCCCTTTCTCTCCCTTCACCTCTGCCAAAAACACGGCGTGTGTAAAGCGAGGCTGTCCCCGTTCCTGGTGGAGACTGGAGAATTTTAATTAGGCAGCAAAGGGAGGGAGTGTGTGTGTGTGTGTCCGTTTTCCTCCTCCCTCCCAGCCAGGGGATGTTTGAACAACATCCTGAGACCGGCCGAGAGGTGAGCTGAGAAGAATGAACTTGGGGCGCAGGGAATAGGAGGTCCGTCCTCCAGTCCAGTCTGTAAGGGGGCTCAGCAGAAGGCACCCCCAAAGCCCCTCCATTGTTTCTTTAAGTATGCTTCCATCAGGGAATGGAGGGAGTTGTAGTCCAAGCTCTTCTTGGGTCAGCAACCCGTGGCTCTTTCATCCCTCTGCTGCGGCTCCCTGTCGCTCAAAATATATGTCGCAACCACCAATGTGTGATGTCTGCCGGCACGCACTTTATTAAGTTTTTCAAAGCCCAGTAGGTTTTGTGGCTCCCAGTGTTTTTTTTGTGGTGAAACGGATCCAAATGAGTGATTTAAGGTTGCCGATTCCTGTCCTTGCCAAATGCATCTCTTGTCTGTCTGACTTTAAGATGTGTGGACTTCAATTCTCAGCATGGCTGCCTGGGGAATCCTGGGAGTTGAAGTCCACAGAATTCAACCTCCATGGATTCTGGGAGTTGAAGTCCA